TGTGTGTGTATGTGTGTGCATGCACGCATGTTCGTGTGGGTCTACCCGCATGCTGGGTACTGAACCCCAGGCTTGGTGCATGCTAAGCACACACTCTCACATGCCCAGCCCTGGTCTGGGCTTTTGGCACAGATATGATGTCTTAGGCAAATAATGGACAGTTTTATTTATTTCATGGTACTGGGAATTAAATCAAGGAGGGCCTCACACATGCTATCACCGAGTTTCATCCCTAGTCCTTTTTATTTTGTTTTGAGACAGGGTCTTGCTAAGTTGCTGAATCTGGCCTTGAATTTATAATCCCAGTAGCTGGGATTAAATGCTTGCACCAACACACTTGGCTTCATTTTTAATTTTTTATTGTGGTGCTGAGGATGGAACCCAGGGCCTCCTGCATGCTAGGCAAACACTCTGCCACTGAGCCATGTAGCCAGCCTGACTTCTTTATTCTTGTCAGGTTTGTCTATTTTATTAGTCTTTCACAAAACCAGTGTTGAGGTTGCCTGTCTATTCTGTTTATTTATATGTTCCTTTATTTTTCCTTTATTGAACCTATTCTATGGTTCTTAATTTTTTTTTTTTGTTTTTCATTTTCTAATGCAAGCACATGAGGTTACAAATTCACCTTAGGATGGTTAAACTGCATCCCACAAATACAGCTGTGGAATATTTTTGTTATTCATCTAATCATGTGTATTTTCTAATATCCATCATGTTTTCGTTTTTGACCCTTAAGAGGTTTTGTTTGTGTGTTTTGGGGAAAACAGGGAGTGGGGGCCATTGGGTGGGGGACACTAGGTGTATGGAATTGGAATAGTCTTCATTTCGCAAGACCCTGTTAATTATCGGTTCAATGCAAACTCCCCTTTCATGCATTTTTATTAAGGTGAAATTCATATAACATAAAACCCAATCATCTTAAAGTGAACAGTTCGGTAGGATTGAGTATATTCATAATGTCATAGAATCACAATTTTAGTCCACAAACATTTCCATCACTAAAACCAACCAACCAAAAGAACCATCTATCTCAGGGGCTGGGGCTGGGGTAGTAACCAAGAAGGAAACGGGATGGATATGATCAAAGTATATTACATGCACTATGACAGTGTCAAATGAAACCCATTGTTTTGTATAATTAATACATGCTAATAGTTATAACTTTAAAATATAAAAAGCTTGCTTTAAGAAATACACACAAGAGGGGCTGGGACTCAGTGGTAGAGTGCTCGTCTGGCACATGTGAGGCACTGGGTTCCATCCTCACCAGAAATATATATATAATGAAATACACAAGAAAGAGGAAATAGGGCTCAGAATGGTATTTGAATTAAATAAAATGTGATATTTCTTGCAAAACAAAACCACAAAAGCTCTGTACCTATTAAACAGTTACTCCCTACCCCTCACTCCCCAGAAGCTGGTATCTATAAATCTGCATTTTACTTATATATGTTTACCTCTTCTGGATATTTCATATATAGAGTCATAAAAATGTGGGAATTTTTGTACCTAGCTCCTGTCACAGAATGTATTTTTTCCTTTCAAATATTTTTTTTAGTTGTAGTTGGACACAATATCTTTATTTATTTTTCTGTGGTGCTGAGGATCGACCCCAGGGCCTTGCATGTGCTAGGCGAGCGCTCTACCACTGARCCACAGCCCCGGCCCCTTCTGTCACTGAATATTTTTGAGATTCATTTATGTTTCACACATATTAGTACTTCCTTCCTTTTCATAATTGAATAATATTCCACTATATGGGTATACCACAATTTATTTATCATTCACCTATTGATGGACATTTGGGCTGTTTCCAACTTTTGGTCATTGTGAGTGGTGTTGCTATGAGCATTCATGTACAAACATTTAATTGAATCCCTGCTTTCAGTCCCTCTGATCATGTGGTCATTTTGTGCTTCACTTTTTGAGAAGCCACCAAACTGTTTCACAGAGGTTAACCCTTTTTATATTCCCACCAGCAGCAAACATGGATTATTTTGGTTTTCCACATTCTCAACAACACTTTTCTTTTTAATTTTACTCATTCAATGGTTATGAAGTAGTATCTCATTTCGATTTTAAGGTCTTTTTTTTTTGTGTGTGTGTGTGTGCGGGAGGGTTTACTGGGATTGAGCTCAAGGGTGCTTTACTGCTGAGTTGCAGGCCCAGCTCTTTTTATTTTGAGACAGGGGCTTGCTATAGTGATATTGCTATTGCCTGAGCCTCCCAAGTCAGTGGGATGATAGGTGTGTGCCACTGTGCCCAGCTCACTGGTTTTGACCTGCATTTTCCTAATATCTCATGATGTTGAATATCTTGTCATGTATTTGTTGGCTGTGTGTGTGTGTGTGTGTGTGTGTGTGTGTGTGTGTTTATATTTTGTGGATGATGTCCATTCAAGTTCTTTGCCTTTTTTATTTTTTATTATTATTTTTGTGGTGCTAGGGACTGAACTCAGGGCTTTGCATGTGCTAAGCAAGCACTTTACCACTGAGCTACATCCCCTAACCCAGTATAACATTTTTGAACTTTACAGAAGGTCCACAAAGTGACCCTTATAAAAGGTCACTTTTATAAAGTGGTGTACCCATTGAAGCTCCTCCCAGTAACTGATGTGTAATTTCTTTTGACCTCATTCTCTCCAACACTTGATTTTTTTTTTTTGTGGGGGTGGTGGTGGTGGTGGTGGTGGGTAGTACTGGGAATTGAACCCAGGGACACTCTACCACTGGGCTACATCCGCAGCCCTTTATATGTTGTGAGACAGGATCCTGCTAAATTGCCCAGTCTGGTCTTGAACTTGTGATGCTCTGGCCTCAGCTTCCCAGGTTCAGGGGAGTTCACATGTGSGCCAAAGCAAGGTCTTGTCTGATTTATTTGTCAATTGAGTGGATCTAAAATGGCATCTTGTGGTCTTGTTTTCCATTTCCTTGGTTATTTGTGAGGTTTAGTGTGTTTTTATAAGTTTATGGGTTTTCCCATCTATATGTGTTCATCATGTTTTGTCCTCGGTTTATAAGGTTAGTTGTCCTGTTCTTGTTGAGTTTCAGGTGTATGAGAAACACTAATATCTTACTAACACAGTAGCTACATTAGTATCTAAGTGTATCTTCAGAGAGAAGAGGAAACATGTTTGTAGTATTGCTAGTTATTGCCAAGTTCCCCTCTAGGGGGCGTGCCACTTGGCGGCTCTACTTTCCTACAGGTTTCACCAACAGAGGGCGCCATCGCCCTGCATTTTGCCGGTACTGGTTGCATGTCCCTAATCCGAAATGCCTGGATCCAGAAATGTTTGATTTTGGATGTTTTTGGATTGGGGACTATTTGCAGATACATATTGAGATACCTTGGAGATTAGATACATGTCTAAATAGGAAATTCATCTGTTTCACATACACCTTATATGCACGACTGAAGGTCATCTTATACAATGTTTTCCGTGAGCCCACGTTTTGACTGTGACCCCTCCCGCGAGGTCAGATGTGGAATTTTCCATTTGTAGCATCATATTGGTGCTCAAAGATTTTTGGAGTATTTCGAATTCTGGATAAAGGATGCTCAACCTTTATTATCGTTTTTTTTTTTTTTTTCTAATWTTTTTGGCCAGTATGTCACTGTCACTGTGATTCGCACTCTGCTTTTTGTTGTGTGAGGCTGAGCGTCCTTCGTGTCAGGGCCGTCTGCTGTTTCCCCTGGGGTCCATCAGTCCATCTTTTCATTCCAGCTGCCCTCTGTGCTGAGGACGGAACCCAACTCTGCGGGTGCTAGACAGATGCTCCACCATCCAGCCACCCCAGCCCTCTCTTCTCAGTGATCTGCTGTTTCACGTCCCGATTTGATCATCCCTTCTTCTTTCCTTTCCTCTCGTTCTCCGCCTCCATATTCATCATGCTCTCCCAGGGCCCCTCCTTCTCTGCCGCCTCCTCTTTCCCTGCTTGCTGTCTCATTCCTGCCTGCTTCGGGCTCCTTTCTCTGCATCTCTCACCACTGTCTGATCTTGTCACCGTCTGTTGCCGCCCTCTCTCTCCCGTCTGCCCTATTTGCTGAGAAGCACCAAAGATAAGGGCTCCGTCCCTCCTCACTGTGCCCCTAGCCGTCTCTTTCTCGATGGTCATAATTTTACAGTAGCGGGTCGTGGTGTGGTCACACATGCACATAACCTAATTTGGTCAGTTTTGCCGCCCAGTACTGCCCCTTTCCCTCCCATCCTCCACTTGTCTCCATGGGGTCCCCGCGTTCCCCCTGCAGCTTCCACAAAGGAGAGAAAACATGAGCCTGACTTTCTGCCTCCACCCAGTCTTGACCCTCATGACCCTTCACTCCTCCACTTTACCCAGCTATTTCTCCTCTCTTGGATCTTGTCCCTCTATTTTTCCTGATGGTCTGTCCTCTGTCCCTCCTCTGTCCCTTACCAGTTTCTTCTCTAGGGTACCCACAGTGCTTCYTTGGCCCCCACCACCCCTTACTTCTTCGTCATGACTGAGCTCCACTTGGGTGCGTCCCTGAGGGCAGTGGAGGCTGACCACATGTGGACTTTGTGGCTGTTTCTGGGGTGGGGGACACAGGTCCTCCAGCCTCTCTTGGAGAGTTACCCTGTTCCTGTGTAGCTCCTGAGGGGACCGTGATCTCACCTAGGCTGACCCTTGGGAAGCCTGTGGGAATTTGCACCCCCACCCAGACCTCCTTCACTGGCCGGAGGGAGTCTCCAGGTGGCTTTGAGCAGGGGCTGCAGGCACAAGCTCCCTTCCCACCTCCTGCTTGGACTCTGACCTTAAGCAAGTCTGYGGCTTCCTGTGCTTAGTTTGCCTAGTGTGTAAGCCAGATGTGAGCAGCTGGCTGAGCACTACCAGGGTGGAAGGTGGTGGCCTTGCCCTGGGGTAGCTGCACCTCCATGCCCCTGGGTCCCCTGGAGGTGGCAGTGAGTATCTGGTTGATGGTGGCCTTCTTGGGATCTTACGGAAGGACAGGGAGCTGCACCAGACCCAAGTTCTCAGGCAGAGAATTCAGCTCCGTTCAGCTTTTATTGGACCTCTTTCATCCAGGGCTCCCCACGGCCACCAGGCTGCAGCCTGGATGTGGCTCTGGCTGGCAGCAGTGTCCTGCTGCTGCCTTCTGGCTCTGTCTAGGTGCCCAGAGGGAGGGGGAGGGGAGGGGCTGGAGACAGATCATCAGCCTCTGGCCCATCTGGGGCCGGGCTTCCCTGTGAGTTGGCTCAGAGGCTGCCAGTCCAGCCACCTCAAGTACCCAAGGTGCTGGGGGCAGCCCCTCATTGCCAGTTCTTGGCAGGCTATGTGCCTGGCACGTGCCCATTGGCCAGCCGTCCGGCTGCCCGGCTTCTAGGGCCGTCAGCTGGGGCAGCCCTGGGCTCGTGAGTCATCCCGTTCTTCATCTGTAAACCTTCTGGGGCCAGCCCGTCGTCACTGGAGTCAGACTCTTCCACATCACTGCGAATGTCCTTTGCCATCTGGGGAACAGAGCCGGATGGAAGCTCAGAGCAGGTAGGAGCTTGGGGCAGGGCCAGGCCAGGCTGGGGTGGGGGCTTCCAGAGGCATACATGAGCTACCCTTGCCCAGATGTACCTGACCCTTCCTCAAGAAGTTGATGAGCATGCGCAGGATGAGGCCGAACCAGTACACGTGTAACACCTGCAGYGTCATCAGAAGCACGTTGAAGAAGTAGTAGCCAAAGAAGGGACCCCTGTCCACGATGGACTCATAGTAGGTGGTGTAGATGATCCTGCAGCAGGAGGGAGGGAGAGAGGAAGGRGGCTCACCAGTTGCTGTAGACCCTAGTCCTAGGAACACCTAACTTGCATAGTCTTTCTTGCTCTGGAACTTTCTGTGGCTCCCCAGTGCTGTCCCAGACTCAAGATACTTACCCACTTCCGCTGGGTACACAGCCTCTGCTCCCTGCTAAACTAGGTCAGCACAATAGACGTTGTCAGCGGGCCTTGCCCAACCATGAGCCCCAAGGGGATGCTTAGTATCCCACCCGGCCCTTTCACATCTTCTTGTATCTCCTTAGGCCCCAGCCCCTCCTCCCCTCGACCCCTCGACCCCTGAGAGAAGTTTCCTGAGTGCCCTGCCCCCTGCCCTCCACCACCTCTGGCCACTCTCTTCTTGTTTCTCCCTCACCTGCCTCCTTGCTGGCTCACCTGCTAGTCCCCGGTTACTTCTCATGCAAGGAAGAGCGACACACCCTCTCTCCACCCTTCTTTGTCCCTCTGGTGACCCCCCTTTCCCTCCAGACTCTGAAGTGGCTACGCAGACTGTTTTCCTCTGGTGCCTCTCATTGGCTGCTGCTTCCCAGTCTCTCCAGGCTCCCCTCTGCCTGAGGACATTAGGGGGCTTGGCCTCACTGTCCACACTGGCTCCCCAGCTGGCTCCATCCAGGCTGGTGTCTTCTTCAGTCACCGACTGCGGATGGGGGGCTCCTACAGATGGGGGCTCCTACAGAAGGAGGCCTACGTCGGCCTGCCTCCTTCCTGTCTTTCCATAGGTCCCACGGAGCCCGATGCCCCAGGCAGCTCCTCCTGGGCCGGTTCCCAGCCAGGACTGGTGGCCCTCCAGAGTCTGCACGTCCCTCACCTCACTGTACCAAGGCAGTGGCTGCGCTCTCGCCCTCGGCCCCATGTTTCCCACCGCCTGTGCCCTGTAGCCACCCGAGGGCGCTCGTGAGCTGCTCGCCGGTGCCTCCTCCCCCGCGCTGTCTGCAGTCGCTGGCTCTGCCCGCCACTCCCTCCCTCCGGAACCCATCTCGGGGTCAGCGCGGTCCTTCTCTCACCTCCYTCCGCTGACTTCCAGCTATGCACTCGCGAGCTCCCCTCTCACCCTACCTTCTCACTCTCCTTCTCTAGACTTGGCTCCTTGCCCCTCTGCCCGCTTCCACCCACACTGCCAGCACCCAGAGGGCAGGCGGCTTTGCACTGCTGCTCSGGCCATATGCCCACCGCCTGGCATCTTTGAGGGGCTCCATGAATATTGAGTAGAGGACTCCAGCAAGCTGCGCCCTGGTCCGCCTCCTCCCACTTCGTGTCCAGGGCTGCGCCCCATGAAGCCTGAGCCCAGTTCCGATCCCTCACCTCTGAGCTTTAGCATATGCTGTGCCCTGTGTCAGGCACACCCTTCCCTGCCGCCTCCTGGAAAAATCCAGCCAATACCTCCAGCTCTTCCCGGGGCAGGGCACCCAGGGCGAGGCGGGCCAGGGTTTCAGACATGCCCGCCCCCTTCTAGCCCCCACGGGAGAGGGAGGCCGACTCACTGGGTGGGGTAGAGTATGAGGCGGGTGAAGAAGAAGACAAAGGAGAAGATGACGAAGAGCGCGTCGCACACCAACGTGAAGCGCGTGTAGTTGAACATCTTACAGGCCTGGGGGGGACAGAGGGCGCCGCTCAGGACCCAGGCTGGCACGCAGGGCAGGGCGGCAGGGGGGGCAGGGCGGCAGGGGGGGCAGGGCGGGCCTCCTCTCACCGGAAAAGGGGCGAGGCCTTAGGAGGGCGTCCCCTCTTAGGGAGCGGGGGCGGGGCTCAGGTCCCGGGAGGTGGGGGGCAGGGTCTTYTTGCTGGGGAAGACCTGGGGGGGCGGGGCCTCACCCCTCAGGAGGTGAGGGGGCGGGGCCTCATCTCCAGGGCGTGCGGGTCAGCCCACCTCCAGCAGGTAGTCGGCCGAGTCGTGCAGCAGCAGCACCAGCGAGCCAATGCGCAGCAGGTTCGTGCTGTAGGAGAAGGTGATCAGGGCGATAGTCACGAAGTGATGCGCCACCTGCTCCTTGAAGTCCTGCAGGAGACGGTGGGTCACCAGATAAGCCTTGGTGCCAGGAGGGGCCCCATCCTAGGGCTGGGGGCGCTCCACCCTAGGGCTGGGGGCGCCCCACCCTGGGGGCTGGGGGCAGGCCCTCGCAGGAGATCGGTGTGACCTCTGGAGCCCAGGCCTCCCGGTGGTGGGGCCGCAGCCCCCGGCACCCCAGCTCCCTGTCCAGAGACTGGGTCACGCCTTCCCCGTGGTGTCCCTCCCCATGGCTTCACCTTGCGCTTGATGTCAAAGGGCAGCGTGATGAGCAGTGAGATGTAGAAGCTCAGCTCCAGGAGGTACCACCAGTACAGCTTTGGCTGYAGGGTCTGTGACAGGAAGGACGGCAAGGGTAGCTGCGGGCAGTGGAGGCGCCTACCTGGCAGGCCCAAGGCCCAGGACACTCCCCATTTGCTTAAAACCAGCACAGCTGAACACCCATGAGTGAGGAGGTGGTCCAGGCCAGYGGTCTGTGGAGTCTCCTCACTCCTGGCCCCTCTCTGCAGAACACAGGAGTAAGAGAGCCAGAGCAGCACCCAGGGGAATTTCTGGAGTGTTGTACAAGTTCGGGTCTTGGGCCTGTGGTCACCCTTGCCACTCACCTGGTTTGGGTAATTTTCCCAGCACATCACTGGAGTCCACAGCCACGACTCCTGCAAAGACACGGGTGCCTCAAGGTCCTGAAGGTCAGACACCAGCTGCCACCCAGGGGCCAGGGCCTCCCCAAGGTTCCCGCGCAGACCCTTCCACTCTTCCCTGGCTAGTTCCACCTCTGCCCCTCTCTCCCCACGGTGGTTCATTCACTGTAGAACCTGGTGCCCAGGAGGTCTTCAGCACAGGCCCTGCAGGTGCTTGTGGGACAGGGCGCAGTCGGGGTACTCACGTTGTACAGGACCGAGACACCACCGACGAAGGTGCACAGGTAGAAGGCGAACCTCCAGCTGCAGACAGGAGGAAGCCCATGAGGCAGCTGCCCAACAGACCCCCTCCCTGGCCCTTCCCTGGCCCTGGTACCTGGCCTCGCAGAACTTCTTGGAGAGGCAGGGCCGATCCTGGTTCCGGCGTCTCCGGAACCAGCGCTGAGTCTGCCGCAGTGTGAGGCCACACTGGGCAGCCAAGAGGGCCATCTGGGACTGAAAAGGGGTGTCAGGACTCAGGGCCACTGAGGCCTGATGGTGGCTTCCTTCCCTGGTCCCTGGATAAGCAGGACCTGGCTCTGTTCCCCCTCTTTGCAGCCCCAGATCTTGCCTGTGAGGTAGCCATGTCTACTATCGAGAGATGGGTGTGCCCCAGAACACTGGGTGTGTGAGGACCAAGACCCGTCCCTAGTGCAGAAGAACACTGATGGAGAAGGGGACTGGGGATGAGGCTTTCCTACACCCCAGGCAGGCGGTGGAGAGCTTGCCCTCACCCCTTCCTGCAGAGGAGATTGCCAAGGGAGGGGGATGGCAAAGCTCTCTGCTCTTGGGAAGTTGTCCTGACCTTACCAGGGAAAACAGTTTCCTTCCCTCTCAGGACACACCCCCCCAGACCCTGTCCCCTGAGCAGTCCACTCCATGGGTGCGAACGGAGGTCGGACACAGGGCTGCCTGTCACCACCCCCAGGCACAGCCAGACTTCTGTTCCTTCCCAAGAGCAGGGAAAGAATTACTCCTCTCCTCCCAGCCCAGAATCTGCCCAGCGGGCAGCTGTGTCCGCTGATGCCCAGGATAGAGGGGCGGGACTCACTTAACCCCGCCCCCACCCAGCTCGAGGGGGCGGGACCTCATCTCCAGGGAGGTGAGGAGGGGGTGAGGCTTGGCTTTCCAGGCAAGCAGGGGATCCAGGTGGCGTGCAGGCTGGGCATTTGTTGGAGTGCCAGAGGACACCGTAGCTTCCCTGGCCCCCAATAAGTGGTCACAAACCGCTGCCGGGCACCATTCACGGGGCAGCAGGGTGGCAGTGGAGACGGGCACTCACCTCCTGGGGTCTCCGCCCGGTCTCCAGGAAGTGTCTCTCCAGCGTGGCGTTGGGCTTGGCCGGTTTCCGGACCCGATCCCGCACTCCCAGCCACCGGCCCAGGGGCAGGCCTACGAATCTGAGTGCAGGGGACATGGAGCAGTTAGCGCCCAGGAGAGAAGGGTGAGCGTGGGGGAGGTGGCGGRGAACACGTTACAGGCGGAGAAATCGGGGCCAGGGGTGGGCACACAGCAGGGCGTGAGACTGGGGGTCTTTCTTCTCCCTCTAAGAGGAAGGTCCACAGGCCCGGAGCCCAGCGAACCGTGGGGCAGGGTCAGAACTCTCCCCTGCCGCGCTGGCCTCCCACGCTGGGCCCCAGAACCTTGTGCTGTACTTGACGGCGTGGGGGTGGGGGGTAGGAGCCGGACCATCGTCAGGATGTGGGGTGCCCAGGTACCTTCGCCCATCCCCAACCAAGTCGAGAGTCCCTTACTGCCTGTCCCCCAGACGCCGGGGTCCTGATTCCCAAGGGCAGGAGCAGGGCCTGCCTCCTTTAAAGTCCCCCTCCTCCAGCACAGGGCACTGCTCCAGGTGGGGGCAAAGGATTAGTGAGGACCCTGGGCAATCACCGCATTGTCCACCAGGGGGCCCCCAAGACCCGGGTGGGGCCGGAATCTCATCAGCGTCCTAACATCGCTCCTCATTTGGAGAAACCGAGGCCCAGAGCAGCCTGACAGGGCACTCACCTCCACTGCAACTGTGATGGGGAACAGAGGGGGCTGGTTTACTGAGCACCTACTACCTGCCAAGTGGAGGACTGAGTCCTTATCACTGGCTCAATTGTCCTGATGGGCAAACTGGACAAAGGCCCTCAGAGATGTGCCCAGGGTGGCACAATGGGTGATGGGGGGACATACCTCAAGTTTGAACCCAAGACTAATCTTTTAACAGTTAATACCTCTGCTTCCCCCACCCCCACGGCCCTCCACAGTGACTCAGGCAAGGCCATTATTTAAATACAGTTTCCCTGCTGGGCTCCAGTAGTGGACCTGGGCACAGTGCCTGCCCACTCCATCCATCCCCACTCTCCCCTGTCCCCTCCCTTCAAGACCCAGCTGGGTGTGGGCTGGAGGATTCCCTCAGGCAACCTCCAGACCTGGGTGATCTGCTGTGTGACCTCAGCAGGTCACTAGACCTCTGCGTCCATTTAGTCTTTTGTAAAATGGACCATGTCCTGCAGCCGCATCAGACTGCGCAAGTTAAAACCCCTTAACGGCCGGGATCTGGCCGGAGCTGACCGGGACAGGCAGGCCTCCTCAGAAGGCCATGTGCTGGATAAAGACCCCTCTGTGAAGGTCCAGGGGCCCAGAGCTCAGGAAGCCGCCATGAGTAGGAGCCACAAAGCGAGATGCAGGACACCCCTGTGCCCAGGATCAGGGGTGGGGCCTCAGGGGGGTTCCCTGAAGAAGGGCTGAGGGTGTGGCTCCAGGGAGGGACAAGGAATCATCCTTAAGGGAAGAGAAGAGGAACCAGGGCCAAGGCCGGAGGTCACCCAGAAGGCGGCAGGACTGGACCCAGGTGTGAGGGGCCGGTGGCGGGTGGYGGGGAGGCTGTGGGGTGCAGGCTTGGGAGGGCCCCTGGGGGGTGGGGAGCCAGGCAGGGCCGGGGCAGGAGAGGGGCTGGCAGCGGGGTCTGTCTGTGTGCCCGAGACTGCAGCGCAGCAGGGTCTCTGTGGGCCCTGCCGAGGGGGGAGCTGTAGGAGCTGAGCACCCACCAGAGAGGGTGCTCAGGGGAGAGAGCGCCTGGCTCCCAGCAGCACTGGTTATGCAGGAAATGACCAAAAATCCAGGGGTTTTGGCAGCCAGGTCACTGGGAATCTGGGCAGGTGGCACATACTTGGGGAACAGGTACCAGACTGCCAGAGTTTGGGGGCAAATAGGGGGCCTGAGGGGGGACCAGTGTAAGGGGAGGGGGAGGGGAGGAGCGAGCAGAGGGGGAGGGGGTGGGGCAGGACAGACTTGCAGAAGGAGGAGCTTCAGGCCCTGGGCGGGAGGGAGCTGGCAGGTGTCCCTCCACTCACCTCTGAAGGCCAGACCCATGTCCTCCCAGGTCCCCAGCCCTGTTCCATGAAGGTGGAGGCACACCCAGAGTAAGCCAGCCACCAGCCACTAGAGGGAAGTGGTGCCAAGCCAGGTCCCACCCAGGACACTGCAGATGGGGACCCCACGCATGCAGGGACACACAGGTGACAGGGTCGGCCAGAGGTAGCACACATGGACACTCACCTCTCGAAGACAATGCGCAGGGCCACCAGGACCAGGGCTAGGGGCAGGGCCGCCAGCATGTGGTGGGGGTGGGCGAAGACGCGGCCATCGCGGTCCTCCAGCTGCTCCCAGGAGCAGTTTGGTGGCAACCAGAGCCTTTCCTGCCACAGCCATGTGTTCAGGCTGGACAGCATCCTGCGGACACAGGTGCCACGGTCAGCACTCTGCACTGAACAAGAGCACCCTGGGCCCGCTCACTGCCCCCCCCCGCCCCGCCTCGCTCACGGGAGCTCCTCTGTGGCCTCAGTGAGTGGGTTCCTGGTCACAGTCCACCCTCGGCCCCCGTTTCCAGCCAACAGAGCATCAGGGCCAGTCGTCAGGGCAGACATGGGCTGTGTGTCCTCAGGCAGGTGACCTGACCTCTCCAAACCTCAGGTTCATTCATAAAACAGGGACAGTCATACCCACCTCTCAGCCCAGCCGGCCCCAGCGTAGGAAGGGCTTGGCCTCCTGACCCTGCACAACCCGGCTCCTCCGTGTCATTATTCTGCACTATTCAGACGCCAACATGGTGGCCACAAGTCAAGGGAGTGGCCACTTGGGGTCTTAAACCTGAATCCTCTAATGTCAGGAAGGCGCCCTTCATTGCAGGAAGCAGCTCCAATACCCCCCGAAGACAGAGGACGGAGGGGACCCAGAGTCCCTCCAGGCCCTCCTCAGAAGGTGGACTCCCCGTAGCAATGGCAGGAGGCCATCCACCCCGGAGGCTGGGCCACAGCAGGGCAGAGCTGCCGCATGCCCGAGCTTGCCAGGCGGGGAGTGGCGGCTGAGGGGGCAGCTGGGCAGCACCTGGTGAGCGGCCCACTCGGCCAGCCCCACCTGCTGAGGAGCCCGGGCAGCTCCTCTCTCCCGAGATCTTGAGCCAAGAGCGGACAGCGCCAGTCACCAGTTGGAAAGTCTTTGTTCACTCATTCATCCGTCTGTCCACTCATCCATCTGTCCACCCATCCAGCCATCTTCTACCATCCTCCCATCTGTCAGTCCACCCACTTACTCACCCACCCACCCACCCACCATTGCTTTCAGGCCACAGATGTCCGTGGTTTGACTTGTCCTGTTCACGCCAGGTTGGGGCTGKGCATTAGACACAGTGGGGGAGGGGGAAAGACATTTTTGTTCCTGTGGAACTTACAGCCCTGCAGCCAGAACCGATTCATAAAGACCAGATACCAGAGTGTGATGGAGCCTGAGACAACACGCAGAGTGGGTGGCTGTGAAGGTAGTGAGCAAAGAGGGCTCTGGAAGGAACCAAGACTCACGGTGAAAGAGGGTAGTGTAGGAAAGGAAGGGGGCCTGGGGAAGGGGCTTTTCAGAAGATTAGCAGCAGGTGCAAAGGCCCCGAGGCAGGGTGGAACTCAGGGTGCTGGAGGTCTAGGAAGGAGGCCCTTGTGGCTGGAGTTAAGTGAGTGAGGGGGACACAGGGAGGAGGTGAGGGGGGCAGGACATGCAAAGAACAGGGGCCAGAAGGGAGATTTGGATCATTTCTCCCAACATTTTATAATGAAAAAATTCAGCCCTGCAGAATAGCTGAAAGACTACTCTGAATGCCGTGAACCCACCGTTGGAGCCGCCCTTCACATTTTGTTCTGTCTGCTTCATCGCACGCCTGCCCGTCCGTCCCAACGACCCGTCCATCAGTTCATCTCATTTTCCTGGATGCATTTCAAAGTAAGCAGCAGACATCAAACCACACCCCCCAAAACATCTCGGATCAAAACATGCAGATCATTAACTCGGGCTCAATATTTGCTTACCCTTTGTTTTTTTCTTTCAAGGTAAAATTTGCTGGAGGGAATGCATCTCAAGTTTACAGTGGCTGAGTCTGGACCAATCTACGCACCTAGGTGACCCAATCTCCTCCTACCCACATTCTTTCCAGAAAGTTCTCCTGTATTCCCTTCCTGGTCAACCTCCACCTCTGCTGCCCAAAGTTAACTTCTGTCCCATACTTTTAATATTGGTCATCACAGATTAGTTTTGTCACTTCTAGAACGTTGGATAAATGGCTGCACGCGCTGCCTGTGTGTGTCTGGTGTCCTGCTGCCGGGACTCCTCTGYGCCTCTGTGTCCATGGGGCGACTCCTGTGCCCTGTCCGGACGAGCCAGAGTTGGCTCCTTATCGTTTGCTGATGGACACCTGGGCTGCTTCCAGCTCTGGGTAATTAGGGGCAAAGCTGCCGTGAGCACRTCCGCGTGTCCTGCGTGGGTAGAAGTGTTCCATTTCTCGGGGGCACTCCCCGGGTCGCAGCTGTGGGCTTCACTTTATCTAAAACCACTTCCGTCAGTGGCAGCGAGGTGCTGTTGTCCTCGGTGTTGAGATGGGAGTCTAGGGCTGTCGGGTGCCACGCATGGGGTGGCCTCTAGAACCCCAAAGGGGTGCTGTGGACTGTCCCAATGAAGCGAGGTGGTGAGAAGGGTCYAGACGCAGAGGAATCTGGGGTGAGGAAGGGCCAAGAGCTAAGGCCTCAGCAAAGGCCCAGGTGTGAGCGGGGGCTGGAGGGGTGGGGAGGCAGCGGTCAGAGAATACAAGATTTCAGTTAGGAGTAAGCTCAAGGAKCTCTTGAGGAGCTGGTGACCACGGTGACAATGTATTATATATTTGAAAATTGCTCCGAGTGGACTTTAAGTGTTCTCAGCACACACAAAAAGGTACCCCGTGACATAATGCCTAGGTGCTTTAATGTAGCCATTGCACAATGAATACTCTCTACAAATATATACATGTTTCTTTTTGTCCTGGGGTTTTTAACCCAGGGGTGCTTTTTCACTGCGCTACATCCTCCCCTTCTTTAAATTTTGAGACAGGGTTTTGCTAAACTGCTAAGGCTGGCCTCTAACTTGCAATCCTCCTACCTCCGCCTCCCGAGTCCCCGGGATAATGTGCCTCTGAGCCCAGTCTACACACACACACAGTTTTTGTCTATTAAAAAACGAACTCATGTAGAGTTCTTGCCTAGCATTCATGAGGTCTTGGGTTTGACCCCCCAATTCTGCAAACAATAAAAACAACAGCAAAAATAAAATAAAATTTAAAATACTGAGGGTTGGGGATGGTGGCTCGGTGCCTGGGATGGGTAAGGACCTGGGTTCCTTCCCCAAGCACTGCAAAAAGAGGAAAAAAAAAAAGCTAAAAAAAGAAAACACAAATAAACACTGAAACCAAAAGGCTCGGTGGCCGAGCACATGCTAGTGTGCATGAGGGCCTGGGTGACCTCCAGTGTCCCCCACGCCCCCAGAAACAGAAAGGACCGGAGCAGCACAAGAGCACGCTGCCATACGGGCATCGCTACTGATGGGAAATCCCAACCCAGGAGTCAGCCTGTTACGCTGGCGGGTCTCCTCTGGGTGCTCTCGCAAGAGACCGCAAACTTGGTGGCTTTATTTATTTATTAAGAGAGAGAGAGAGAGAGAGAGTTGTTTTTTTTTTTTGATATTTATTTTTTAGTTCTCGGCAGACACAACATCTTTGTTGGTATGTGGTGCTGAGGATCGAACCCGGGCCGCACGCATGCCAGGGAGCGCGCTACCGCTTGAGCCACATCCCCAGCTCACTTGGTGGCTTTAAACAACACAGAATCTAGGATCCGGGGTGCTGTGGGTCAGAAGTCCAAAACGGGTCTCCCTGGGCTAATGCGGGGCTCCAGGAGGCTCCCCGCCAGCCTCTTGCAGATTCTGGAGGCCCCACAGCCCTCGGTAGGTGGGGGGCGAGGCTCCTGGTCTCCAGAGCCCACAGCGCAGTGACTTCCCCCTGGACCCTGCCTGTCCTCCTTGAGGACTCCGGCGACACTGGCCTCCTGGCTAATCCAGGATGATCCCCCATCTCAAGGTCAGCCGATTTGCAGCCCGATTCCGTCTGCGCCCTCSCTGTGACCCTGCCCGAAACCGGCCTTCCAGACTGAAGGGCCAGGGACCCGAGGAGTGGGCTGCGTCAGGGGACGAGCGGGCTCTGTCTGCCTTGGACAAGACAAGCAGGAGGGCCTCGGTGTCCCCACGGACACAGGAGGCAGGACAGACTCAGGGGCCCAGGATGGGAGCAGGTGGGCACAGGGAGGTCCAGTCAGTGCGGGGCCGAGGTTCAGACCCCTGCAGATGGCTGGTCCCCAGGAAGGGGCTTCGATGAACCAGGTCATTAAGGCGCCAGTGACGTGCTGGACATCCTGTGGGGGCTCTCGGAGTCAGCAGCTAACAAGCATCGCGGGTGTGTGACAGTGGCTCGTCTAGACCCAGGACAAGAGCCAGAGGGTGGATCTCTCTAGAGAAGCCGGCTGTCATCACTGACTGGCAGCCTGCCTCATCCTGCGCCTGACAGTGTTCCCGCCCTGCCTGGCGCCCCCAGCCGCGCCTGGACCCAGCCTCACGGGCACAGCCAAGGCCACGGGGGACCTCTACAGCCTCCCTCTACAGCCTCCTCTAAGGGACTCTCCCACCCACCTGAAAGGCCCGAGTGCAGAAGGAGAGGGAGCTGGAGCCAGATCCCAGGAGTCCCGGGCCAGCTCCATGATTCTGCCCCAACCTGAGGGTCCTCCGATTGGGGTCCCTGGTGCACGGAGCCACCCTGAGCTGCCCATGATTCTAGGTCTCCACTTACACCCCCAGCCTCAAAGCCCACGCCAGGCACTGCGTGACCCTGCACACAGAGCCGTCTTTTCACAGGTGCACTCCACTGTGCTGAGCGCTGGGACACAAAACAGCGGGAAAGGAGGTGAGGCCTCTGCCCTTGGAGCCGGCAGGCCTCCGGGTCTGTTTGAAAACTCCCGTGCCTCCTCCAAAGCCCTGCTCAGTCGGCCCCATCTCCTGGAGGAACCACCTCGTGCCCATGGTTGTCCAGTTAGAGCACCTCCCCAGCTCTGCCTCCTTCACCGCGAGGTCAGGAACTGGCCAGGCTGGGGGTGGGGAAGTCCTCCCAGCTGCAGCAGGCCCAGCCCCTGCTGGTCCAAAGTCACAAAGGGGACCAGAAACACCCTTYCCAAGCCAGAGAACCATGACAGCAGAGGTCTCACGGAGGAGCCCTGCCCCCTGACCCACCCGTCCCTGCCCACTTTCCTTCCTTTATCTTGTGGTGCAGGGGATTGAACCCAGGGCCTGGTGTGCGAGGCCAATGCTCAACCCACTGAGCTACAACCCCAGGCCCGCAC